CTTTCCCTTTCATCTGCATACAGAGCTTACCAAGTTTAAAGAAATTCCTCCTGTAAAACTTATTACAGCCCTAAATTGGTAAGGGGACCAGGGGATGCTTTCCTGAGGGAAATGTGGTTCTACTCCCTTGCTGCTATCTGCTCTCAGTTACAGACACTGAAGCAGTTACCTCCTCCTCCTCTTGCTCTCTCTCACTCTCTATTTACTGACACATTTCTCATCTGACAGACAAAACAGTCTAGCTGCCTATTCTTCCCCAAAATCCCGAGAGGGCTCAAGCCAAGGCAAAGCACACCAACTGCTCTCCCAGCACCTACCTCAATGGGGCTGGAGAGGACACTGAATGAGGGTGCCTAGAGCATTAGGATGCACAGGTGTAGCTGCAGGGAAGCGAGCGTCTGAGAGCAGTACCCTCATGCCATGACTTCTGGTGCCACATTCTCTGAGCTGAATGTTCCTGGCTATAATCCAACACAGAGAGCTGAGCCATGCTAGGCACAAGCCATCGGGATGACTGCATGAAGCAACTTCAGGCAAAATACTTGCTTGTCTGCCCACACCCCAGCTGGATGGACACATGCCTGAGAATCCTGATGTAATACAGGCAGATGTAAAGAGCCTGCCAAGTAAGCAAGTGTTACACCAAATACATGAGAACTGTGCATCATGGGCAGGGTTAGTTTTCCTTCCACCTACCTCTTCTCTATTTTCTTTACCTATGTAATCAGAGTGAACTTACAGGCCTCAATATTTACATGAGTCTAGGCATGGACTTTCGGGTTTTTTTAAACTACATGATGAACAGGGTGCAACCTCATACTTGTTCCAAGAGGCTCTTGAAATGAGAGGACCCAGCTTAATATATGCTATGCTTGAAGAGTAACTTCTTATGCAAGGGTTTCACAGTGCTATGCAGTCACTCACATTTCAGAGGGTAAAATGACTTGCTAAAATACATGTCAGTCAGGAGAGGAAAGGGGCAAGTCTGCCCTTGCTCTTACCTATCAACCACATAGGCTCTTCTGGGAGCAGGGGTTCAGTGATAGTGGGCACATATACACATGCAACTAGTCCACATGAATAAACTCTGTAACCTATTGCTCCAGAGTTTTTGTTCCTGGGTACACTGAACGTGGAACAATTAACTCCAGGGTAATAAACTTCAGAGTTTATTCATGAGCAGCATGTGTAGCCTGGTTGGAGAAGTCCCAGCTAGCAAGGGGTCCCAGGGGTCGGCTTGCCAGCCTGGGGCTGCTCTGACCGGGCTGAATGTGCTGTAGAGTGGCTGGCTAGGGCACGAGGGTACTTCAGTGCAGGGCTAGCCAGCAGGCAGCCCCACACTGAAGCATCCTTGTGCCTCAGCAAGCTGGGCAGTGCTTACATGTGCTGCTGAGCACAAAAAACTCCGCAGCAGGATAGTACTTGTAAATATAGCCTCTGGAGCTATTTTGTCTGGCTTGCGGAGCTGGGGAGCTTCTGTCACATTTTAGCAGATAGATTAGTTTCCTGCACCCTAATAGGGGCACATTGCAGACACCGGGACATTTACTGTAGAGCTAAGTCAGCTCCACAGTAACTCTCATGTAGACACATCCAGTATCAAACAGGTATCAAAACTCACCTTGGGCCTGGAGCCAGATCTGGACCTTGTCAGTTTCTCTCAAGCCAGATTGTGGGGACAGCAGCAGCTCTGGTGGGTCTGGTGGTGGAGGGAAGGGATCTGTGGGCATCGGCATGGATCCAGGATTCAGTGACAGAGGCAAGAGGATCCAGGACTAGTGGTAGTGAGTCAGGCCTTGAAAGCAGGGGTGCCAGTACCCAAGAACTGACAGGCACACACTACTAATTCAGTTCCAAGTTTGGTTAAGACCTAGCTAGGGCACCTCTAAAAGTAAACTGGTGGAGAGTCAGCAAGTAGAATTTTCCTCTCCGCGTTTGTAATAAACAGAATCCATACGTAGCACTCCCAGTCTCCATCCACTCTGCGTTAACAGCAGTTGTGTTCCATATTGGGTGTGTCTACATGTGCAATTAGTGTCTCTTGAGGTTAAGCACATTAAAATAAAGTGCTGTAAACTGCATCCGGGCATGCATCTACATGTGCACCTGTGTTGGGATCAAAATTATTCCCAAGGGAAGCAGCTGAGTTCAGGGCTGCTCCTGCACCCCCTGCCCTGCTCTGCCCCCCCTGCAGCAGCCAGTGGGTTCGCAGAGGGACAGTGGTCAGGTTTGGGCTCCAGGGAGTTGAGGGGAGCTTCCCCAAAGCAAGGGACACTCCCAGCCATGTGGAGCTCAGGATTGCAGCTTGGCTTGGTGGCACTGGCTTGGGGCAATGCCCTGTGGACAAGCAGTAGCAGTGCCCTGAGGTCTCCCCTTCCTTTGCTTGCTGAGGGGACAAGG